AGGGTGAAGTCCCCAGATCAGACAGTAATCACCATGCTCCCCATACCTAGTACAGTATGTTAAAAAAGGGTGAGACCATGCTGTTTGCAGCCATCTGTTGTTTTCATCTGAGGAGTAGGTAGGTCCTCATGAAATACACCGTTCTTATCTGTGAATCAAAGGGTGCATGATACACCTTCGTTCTTTACTGTAATCAGGAACTGGAAATTGTACAAGAACAGCCTTGGATTTTCATTCCCCTTCTTCTTTGTCTCTGTCTATGACAGAATCATTGAGATTAGGACTCAATGACCTGATCATGAGGCAGAGCGCATGTTGCAAGACTGTTTATAAACATTCTTTACACCACAGGGTGCTGAATGACACGATATGACAATAAGATCGAAACACTTCAGTTGTACAACAAAATGTTATAACAACCTGCACTGCATAGCATCAGCACAAGGTCAGTAAACACCATCCCATTTCCTGTGCTTCCTTAGTTGTACAACACCGTTCTTGTATTTATGTTTCTGCACAATGAAATGTCGTCTCTTCAACTCCCCTGCCCTGCACCTCCATCATCACACATGCAAGAAATGTGAAATTGTGCACCAACTGGGAGAAATTCTGTTTGACATTGAACAAATACATGATTTCATAACTGTTCAAACTGTGATACAAAAACTCCTGGTATCGCACAAGACAAGGAATGCCGACTCTACAATGACCAGCTGCAGTTGACATGTCCTGGTATTTTATTTTACGAACTTTCTCCTCATTTCATTCAAAACTCACTCAAAATAGATTTCTTAAAAGAGAGCTGTAGTAGGAGGGGGCTGAAGGGTTTTAAAACTACACAATGGAGAGTTTGGTCACAATGTGAGAAGAGGCTGCATTATTTTTCAGAATGAATAACATTTGCAAAAGCCTTCTTGAGAGTTGACTTTTACCATGTTCCCTTCCTACTGAATGGACAGTTGTACTGCTATATCACACTGAGGGGAGATAAAGTCTGATTTTATATTGTAAGTTCCTTAGGTTGCATTCTCCATCCTCAAAATGCTGTTGAAGTCTCTTGGGAGGAGGTTCTTTTGGAGTTTCTTATGAACTTCTAACTTTTTGCCTATAGCATTAGAAAGCTAGGAAATAGGAGCGGGGGTAGGCCATTTAGTCCCTTAAACCTGCTCTGCTATGAAATTAGATCATGGCCAATTTTCTACCCAATGCCACTTTTCCACTGTTTCCCCATTTTCCATTGATCTCTTTAACACCTAAAAACTAATTGACCTTTTTCTTGATAACACTCAATGAGTGAAGTTATACAATTCTCTGGGTCATAGCTGAGACTGTGATCCCTGGCTCTAGACCGAACAGTTCAATGTCAACCTACTTGTCTATCTCTTTAAGAACTGTATGAGTTTTGCAGAGATCATCTCTCATTATTTTAAACTATAGAAAACATAGGGCCGGTCTACTCAGTCTCACATCAGAAGGCAATCCCAACACCCTGGGGACAATCTGTGAACCTTTGCTACAAGCCTCTATAGCAAGTATCTCCTTCCTCAATCAAACGGGCCAGAACTGTGCACAATATTCCCAATGCAGTCCCACCCACGTGTTTTATACAATTGCAGCAAAACTTCTCTGCCTCTGTACTCAAAACATCTTATGATAAAGATTACTGTTTACCTTTCGAGTTGCTTGTGCACCTGCTTGCCAACTTTCGGTGTCTTTTGAGCGAGGACACCCAGATCCCTTTCAACATCAACACCACCCAATCACTCACCTTTCAGAAAATACTCTATGCCTTCATTTCTCTTTCCAAAATGTTTATCCTCGCACTTATGCATGGTGTTCCTTCTGCCACTGTGCACTCATTCAGCCTGTCTAAATACTCTGGAGCCCCTGTCAGACCCTGTAAGAACTTTTAGGTGTGAGGCTGGAAAAGCACAACATGTTAGACAGCATCAGAGGAGCAGATAAGTCAATGTTTCGGGCCGAAACCCTTCATCAGGACTGGGGAGGGAATGAATGTCAAATATGATAA